CAGACCCCAGCCCCAGACAGGACAGAGAAAGCAGAAAAATCTACCCAATTGTCACTCCTGACCCCAAGAAGATGGAAAGGGGGAGACTCACTCAGGATGGTCAGCTGGGTCCACACAGCACACAGTAACACAGCCTCGAACATAAACCCACCTGTCAGCCACCCAGCCCTTAACCCAGGCCCACCTGCAGCTGCACTGAGGCTCCAGGACCACCCTCTTTGTCATGGGAGCTGGTCTGGCCTTGGGGAGGGAAGGGGAAACCTCTCCAATCCTGCAACTCAACCCCTGGGAAGCAGGGCTCCATCCATCCCAGTTGTGGGAGGGGCAGGAGGGATGTCTGGGTGTCACATCACATCCCAGGGAACTTCCTTTCTGGAGAACAGCTTGAGGAGTGTGTCAGTGGTGGGAGGGTGGAGCCTCCTGAGGGGATGGAGCTGTGCTCTCTGCAGAGCGAGGACACGGGGCATTCTGGAGGCTCCATTTCCTTAGAGGCACATCCAACAGGGCCATGTTTCTAGTAACTTGTGTGTGTGTGTGCAATTAAAGGTGCAGCTATGAGATCCTATGTTAGCACATAGGACAGTCATCTGGGAGGGTCTCTGATCCCATTCTGAGCTCCTAAAGAAGTGTACCAGTTCACAGACGAACCCACGGCACCTTTCTAGAACATGATGCTGGACCTTGAGCTCATGGGGCCCATCGACCACCATGGACACTTGGACATGAGGCAGTTGTGGTGGAGTCAGTGCTGGGCTGACTTCTAAGGGTCAGAGAGAGAAAGGCTGACCTCGGCCCCAGGGCCTTGAATGGAGGCAGGACCCACCTGACACAAGTGGGAGGAGGGATACCCGGGGTAGTGTGGGATGAGTGACCAGGGTCAGTGAATGGAGGTTCCTGTGAGTGTGACAGTGAGGGCCTAGGGGAGGGGGCAGAAGGCAGTGTCCCTGGAAAGGTGGGAGCAGGAAGGGGCTGGGAGGGGGTGCAGTGGGGGTGACTCTAGGACGAGGTCATGTGGAATTACCAGGGTGAGTTTTAAACCAAAGGAAACATGGAATCAGTGGGTCGTCACCAATAGACAGAAGGACACTTGAGGGGGAACAAAATCCAGAGTGTGATGCTGAGGATTCCAGGGAAGGGAGCTGAGGTACCGTCCTGGGGGCACAGGCAACCAAACACTGTGTGACCAGGACAATCAGATGCGGAGGTGGTCCACACGGAGGAGGAAACATGGAAGAGGGTAGGGAAGGTGTACAGACTTCCATTCCTGAAGCGGCCCAATTACTAGTTCCCGAATGTTCTATAGAGGGTCTCTGGGTGACAGTGAAACCATCCCTCGTGAAATCCCCAAGACCCATCCTCTATCTTCTAACAAAAAGAGGATTTTGTTCCCCTTTGAGGATGGTTGAGTTCAGGACACCAAATGCAGAAAGAAAATTGAGCAGAGCACGACTTCTGAATGACAATGAGGACATTTTATTGAGAGTTTCACCTTTGCAAGGTGGTGAGCTGATGAGACCCAGAGAAGGTATTCCAGAAACACTGCAAGGTACAAAGATGAGTCCTGATGCTCAGAAGGAAAAAAAGAATGTCTTTATTCATTAGCCACTGAGATATAGAAGCTTGTCTGTGTCAAGGTGTAGGGACAACTCTCTGCTGGCCTGAAGGAAGTGGGACAGAACTGAGGATTTCCCACTCTCCATACCCTGTGACCACCTCCAGCTTTAAGGGTGCCACATCCAAATTCCTACAGTTCATTAGAGTAACTCAGGAGATGATTCCTGGGCTAGTATAAAACCAAACTGAATTCAGAGGCATTTCATCAAGGTGGTCTTATCGTTTATGTTTCTAAATATATTTTTTTAAGTAAAAATGGCAAACCAGTGGGTCCAGAAACTATTATTTTCTTACTTATCAGAGCTATATTATTCTGTTGACTTCTACAAGTGGGCACTGCTTGAGGAAATGTCATTCATTGAACTAATGGTCACTAAGAAGCTACTATTTGCTAGATTATTTTAGCAGCTTGGTGTGTGAAGGTTAGATCATGGGCCCCAAGGGACTGATGTCTGGTGCCACAGAGACCAGATTTCTTTACCCTGACAAAAGGGAGGGGAGTAGATGTGTGATGCCTGGACACTTTTCTTATGGCGGGGGTCGCTCACCTTCTGTCAGGGGATCCTCAGAGCCCGACTCCTAGGAGTTCGGGGCTCCCTGGCAAGTCTCCATCTCTTCCTCAGGCTCCCACGTCCCATAAACCACATCCCACCCTCTGCTCCCTGGTGCTGCCTGGTGTCCACCCTGAGGTCCCCTCTTTACTCTGGGTGTCTGTCTGTCCTGGGCGTCTGTCTGTCTGAGATCTTCCCCTGGTTCTCGTCCGGTGTCCTCATACAGGTCGTCTGTCTGTCCCCCGTTCAGGCTCTCTTCCCTTTCGGGGGGGGGCGGTTTGTTGCCCACAGTCCCCCTGAGGCCACCCTCGCAGCCCCTAACCCTCTAGGGCTGCCACAGAGACCACAGAGACCCCTCCAGGGCTGCCAGGGTGGAGGGAGCGTTAGCCCCAGGGCTGGGGTCCAGGGAGTCCCACAAATGAGAGTTTCCATGTGGGTGAACGTTGTGTTCTGAGCCTGGGGCTGTGTCTGTTCTGAGGGGTCCCCTGACCTGTGAAGTCCTGCTGGGGATCTGTCTGTCCTGGGACAACTGTCTGCCTGGCCGGGTCAGTTCCTGTCACCTGTCCCTATGAGGAGTCCCCACCCTGGGCGTCTGAGCTAGGGGCTCACGTCCAGTGTGTAACTGGGTGCGGTGACCCTTAAGGCCCGAGTGTCCTGAGATCTGTGCGGCCTGGGGTGTCCTGCTTGCTGGGAGGACGATGGGGACCTAGCACCCTGAGGCCACCTTCTCAACGGGACACTCGTCTACCCTTCCTCTGTGTACTGTTCCCTCCTCCACTCTCCAAGTCCCCTGGCTTTGGGGTCCCTCACTAGCCCCCATTTGGGTCCCTGAGCAGAAAGATCCCAGGATGACACCCATGCTCTGTCCAGCTCTTTCCAGTGTCCTTCCCACATCCCTGGACCCGGTGCCCCAGCCTGAGAGCCCCCGTTCCTTGGGCCTCAGCCCCTCCGTTCTCCTCAGACCCTGGGGCTGGGCCCCCTGAGGAGGGAGCTGACATCCCAGCATCCAGAGAAGAAGGGCCTGGAGGGACGGCTCGGGATGGGAGGAGCGAGGGGTGGCAGGAGGGTCACTGAGCCCGTCCCCACCATGCCCACCAGTTTCTGTGAAGAACGACAGGCTTGGGGGTGAAGGACAGCCTAGAAGGGTGAAGGTGACAGGCTCCGGAGGGTGAGACCGCAGCCCCAGACAGGAGGGAAAAGACAAGAAAATCTGCCCAAATTTCCCTGTGGACCCTGAAGAGGAGGGCAAGGGGGAGACTCACCCAGGACGGTCAGCTTGGTCCCTCCGCCGAACACACCACACAGTGACACAGCCTCGAACATAAACCCTCCTGACACCCCCTCCACCATCTGCCCAGGCCCACCTGCAGCGGCACAGAGGCCCCAGGGCCACCCTCCTTGTCATGGGGGCTGGCTGGTCTGGCCTCGGGGAGGATGAGGGGGGACCCCACCCCACCAGCAACTTCACCCCTGGGAAGCGGGGCTCCATCCATCCCCAGGCACGGGAGGTGCAGGAGAGACATCTGGGTGTCACATCACATCCCAGGGACCTTCCTTTCCTGGAGGAGGTGGGGTCCCCTGGTCAGCAGTGTGGGGGGCGTCATGGTGGAGGGTGAGGAGCCTGTTTAGCACCCTGAGGGGATGGAGCTGTGCTCTCTGAAGAGCGAAGCCACAGGGATTCTGGAGGCTCTAGTGCCCTAGAGGCAGGTCCAACACGGCCAGGTTTGCAGTACCTCGTGTGTGTTTGTGTGTGCACACGTGTGCGTGTGTGTCTGTGTGTGTGTCTGCCTGTCTAACCGCTCGGACCCCTGTCCTGTGTAGCTCCTACAGCAATAATCTCACTGATCTGAGATCTCATTCCAGATCTAAGATGGTGAATCAGCACACAGTCAAGTCCACGGCACCGTCCTAGACCGAAACTTGATGTTAGACTCATGGCCCCATCGACCACTCACATGGTTTTCACTGGCATTTGTGGTGGGGTAGGTGGTGGGCTGGCCACCGACAGATTGGTGAGAGCAGAGCTGGCCTCGTCCCAGGAGCCTTGAAGGCAGCCGGGACCCTCCTGACACAAGTAGGGGGAGGACTGTCTAGAGGGAGCGTGGGATGAGTGACCAGGGTCAGGGACTGTGGGTCCTGTGCAGTGTGACAGGAAGGCCTGGGGGAGGGGCACAGGGCTGTTTCCCTAGGGAGGTGCGAGCAGGAGGTGCCATGAGGAGGGGTGGGAACTCTAGGACGAGGTCAAGCGGAATTACCGGGGTAGGTTTTGAGCAAGAGGACACGTGGAATCGCTGGGTCATCATCTACAGAACCGACGGACTCCTGAGGGGGAGCACAATCCAGAATGTGATGCTGAGGATTCCAGGGAAGGGAGCTGAGGTATTGTCCTGGGGACCCTGGCAACCAAACACTGTGTGACCAGGACAATCAGATGTGGAGGTGGTCCACACAGAGGAGGAAACACGGAAGAGGGTGGGGAAGGTGGACAGACTTCCATTCCTGCAGCGACCCAATTCCCTGTTCTCGAATGTTCTCTGGGGGGCGGGGGGTTCCTGGGTGACAGTGAAACCATCCCTCACAAGAGTCCCAAGACTCCATCCTCTATCTTGATTTCTTAAAGGATAAGAGGATTTTGTTCCCCTTTGAGGATGGTTGAGTTCAGGACACCAAATGCAGAAAGAAAATTGAGCAGAGCACGACTTCTGAATGACAATGAGGACATTTTATTGAGAGTTGACTGGGTGCAGGAGGAAGGGCTTGGGGGGACCAGGGTGGGTGGGTAGACCCTCCAGGGGTCCTGTGGCTCCAGTCCCCTGAGGGTGGGGGGACCAGGACCTAGGGGCACTCGGAGGGCGACACTGTCTTCTGCACGGTTCTCCCCTCGTGCGTGACCTGGCAGCTGACACTCTCGTAAGATTTCCACTCGCTGGCCGTCAGGGCCAGGTAGCTGCTGGCCGCGTACTTGCTGTTGCTCTGTTTCGAGGGCTGGCTGGTCTCCACGCCCCTGGTGATGGTGGTGCTGCCTGCCTTCCAGGCCACCTTCACGCTGCCCGGGTAGAAGTCATTGATGAGACACACCAGGGTGGCCTTGTTGGCACTGAGCTCCTCAGTGGAGGGCGCGAACAGAGTGACCGAGGGCGCAGACGTGGGCTGACCTGCGAAGTGGGGGAGAGACGGGAGGTCACTGGGGCAGCGTCCGTCGCGGGAGCCCCTGACCGCAGGAGAAGCGGCCACAGGGGCCCAGAGTCCAGTGCATGGATCCCAGGCGGGCCCTTGCTCCCCTGAATCAGGCAGCTATGGCGGGGGTCGCTCACCTTCTGTCGGGGGATCCTCAGAAACTCTTCCATTCCACCCTCCCAGGTGGCCGGCCGAGCCGCTCCGGCTGCAGCCTCAGTCTCCCCGCGCGCAGCCCGGGCAGCTCCCCTCCCTCCTCCTGCCCCCTGGAGCCTGACTTTGGAACCTGGCCCCTACCTCCCGAGCCCTCAGCCCCGCATCAGGCCCCCGCATGGCTTCACCCTTCCGAAGCCCAGATGCCTCCTCTGTGAACCGGGCTCCCCCACCCCACCTGCCAGGATCCTGACTGTATGGAGAGGCCCCGAAGCAGAGCCACGTGCACAGCGGGACCTGGAGCCTCTTCTTGACGGGCACTGGCTCTGCCGCAGCCTGGCCTCAGCCGTTCCGGCGAGGGCTGGGTCTGCCTCACCAAAGCCCCGGGGGCTCCTCCGAGACCCTGCCCATCTCCCCATCCCTCTGCCCTGATTGCAAGGCCCCTCGCCTCGGCTGTCTTCTTGGAGCTGCTCCCCCAGAGGATGGCACAGCTGCCCCCATGCAACACTTCTGACGACTCTGATTTTACGTGGCTGCTGTGAGCTCTGAGCCCCTGTTCGTGATCTCCTGAGTCTAATGAAAACTTTGAGGCAGGTGGAGGCTGACCCTTGGACAGGTGTGATCCCTGCGCTCCAGGGGGTCAGGGCTCCAGGGACGGAGAAGTCTCTGCCCTACGGGACCCGCTCCTTTCTGACCACCATCCTGGGAGCCTCTGGTCCCCTTGTCCCATCTCACCTGTGTCTCCATGTCCCTGTGTCCTCACAGCCCAGCCGGGGCCCAGAAAGCCTCAGCCCAGAGTGAGTAGGACCCGTGTCTCTGCCCTCCATGGGCCTCCCTTGGGCTGCTCCTCTGTGTCCCTGGAGGCTGGGTCATAGCTCCCGCCATGTCCCTGACCTCCCTTGTGGCCCTCAGCCCAGACCCTGGGGCTTGGAGACTGCCTCCAAGGCCACCCCAGTGCCCCTTGTCAGAACAAACCTCTGGTCCCTACGCCAGTGTCTGCCCTAGAGAAGGGGAAGGAGCCCCCATTCCTGGACCAAACCCCAGCCCAGGCCGCTGGATGGGCCATGTCCAACCGTTGGACTCTGGAGGTGGCTGCTCCTGCAGTTGGGGTCCTTCCTGCCGGTTACGCCAAGACCAACCTGCCTCCCAAGGCCCCGAGGAGAAAGGTGGAGCCGGTCCTTAAGCTGGGAGGGCAGAGGGGAAGCAGCCCCCAGAGAGAAAAAAGTGACTTTCCCGAGACAGCCGAGGGTGGGACAGACTGGGAAAGCCGTGAGAGCCACTTACCTAGGACGGTGAGCTTGGTCCCGCTGCCGAAGGTGTAACACGGTGACTGAGACTCAGACCAAAACCCTCCGGGCCAGCATCTGGGGCCTGTCCCCTGGGGGCCAGGATGAAGCAGGGAACTGCTGGGCGTGACGGGCTCAGAGCTGCAGCAGGCAGGGCTGTGTCCTCGGGCTGGGGTGTGGTCTGCCAGCCCCCCAGAGGCTGGGGCACCCCTGGGTGTCCCCATGCCCAGCCCCCTGTCTGAGGAAGGAGCCACTCACACTTTGTCACCCAGTGTGTCCCCCCAACTCTGAGGCTGCCCTGTGACCACTGAATCCTCAGTGCTGATGGTGCTGCTGAGTGCCGAGTCCTCTCGGGTGGCCATGTGGTGTGGCAGAGTGAGTCCTGAGCTGGCTTGGACCTGCCCGACCTCTCCTGGCCTAATTTTAGAGCTTCTGGGTGTTCCTTCCCCATAATTTCCCACAGTCCAGCCAGGTAGCTTCCTCCCTGGGCCTGTGGACACCAGGTCATTCCTGGGGGGCCCCCATGTGGGGACCCCCTGCCCTGTTGTCTCCATACATTGAGACGCAGTTCAGTTCCTCCTCTTTCATGAAGCCTTCTCTGCTCTCTCAGATCATTGTCTTTCTGTCCATATGTTTGTCCATCCATCATCCATCTATCCATCTATCATTCGTCCATCCATCCATCCATCCATCCATCCATGTGTCCATCATCCATCCATCATTTGTCCATCTGTCCAACAATGGTCCCCAAGCACCTGTCTGCCTGGCACTGTTTCATAGGCTGGGATGTGGTATGGGGAGCCCTCTTCCTCTCACCCCCATCTCTCCCTGAAACTTCTCAGGTCAACACCAACAAGGTCCCCATCCTGGTCAAGTGTGAGGTCCCTTCCCAGTCCCCTGTGTTTTCCCATTCTCTCTGCCTCTGACCCACATTGTGCACTCTGACAACTGCCCAGGGGTCTTGCATCCTTATTTCCAGTCCTGACCTCTCTTTCTGGCTCTAGATTTATGCACATTCTGCCTCCTGAATGCATCTCTGCTTGAATGCCCTACAGACACCTCAAACTCAACATCCCCCATCTAAACTCCTCACAGTTCCCTGCAAACTTGCTGCCCCTCATTGTTCTCACTTCAGTAGATTTCTCCTCAAGCCAGAGGCCTGGAGTCATCCCAGAATGCTTTCCCCTCATTGAATCACCCTCTGTGTTCTAGGCATCCTACTACAACACAGAATACCCTTAAAATACTCAGAAAAAGAAAAAACACCCAAATCTCACCCTGAGAGTTTATGATGACAAGAACCCTCAGGCTTTGCCAAATCTGATTGTATCTCCCAATGAAATTTATCTAAATCAGAAGGTAACCCTTTGCATTGGGACAAGAATTTTTTTTAATTCAGCGGTGGAACTATTTGGTCATGGTTGTGTTTAAGTGTGCACATAAGATTTTTGAAACAAAATTTAACAGAACAGCAATATAAATTCAACACTTCTTTCTGATTAAATAAAGCAAATATCCAGCTTTTTATTAAGTTAATTATCTAAGGAAACATCCTCAACTTGATAAAGAGTATCTCCCAAAACTTATAGCAACCTTCACATTTAAAGGTAAAACCATCTTATAGGTCAGGGCTCCCACTTTTACTTTTATTATTCATCATATTCTACAGATTCGAGCCAATGTAGTGAGATGAGGTGGGGG